GGATGAAGGAGGGGAGCGCGTGCAATAGATGTCGCGTAAGTCTGCATCATTATAAACTAATTCGCGCATAGGGCTCACTGCACCACCCCGTGAAACACACGCAATGAACGCCATCTTTTGTGTATCCGAAACTACCACTCAGACTTCTATCGTCATGTTCCCTTAGTTCACAGGCCCCTTTTCCACATAGAAATACTTTCATACTCGCAATCGCAACAGCCAAAACAGCGGACCCGTGGTGCAATGGTAGAGTGCTGCGCTCAATGACCAAAAGTCGCGGGTTAGATACTCGGGGGTCAACATCCTTGAGACTGAATATGGCTGGCTGATGACAGCTACCAGGCCAGAGGCGGTCATTATGGTCTCCTTGTCTTCGCCGGATCCACTTACTCACTTTCCTAACTGTGTTTTAGGTAGTCAAAAGACACTAAAAAATACATACAAAGTATCTATCATCCGCTTGAAAGGCATCAATCAGAAATATCGTACTATTTCGGGTCTTTAATTGCCGTTCCTTCGGAGATATTTTTACTACTTTGCAAGTTGTAATTTTTGTCTAAATTGAGAAATGACCAAGAACCGAGGACGGTGAAGTTTACAGCAACACGAGTAGAGTAGATGTCTGCCCGACCTCTTTGAAAAATACAACCGCGGATGTCGCAATTCTAAGCAATATTTGTGTTCACCCTCTCAGTCCTGTCGAAGGCTGCTATTGTCGACAACAGAAGGTTCCCCAAATCACAAGTCAAAGAAGGCGGAATAAACTGGAACGGCTTTACTGCGGGCAAATGGATTGTACAAAGGCTGCATCAAGCGCTAGTCCCCAGGTCTGTCCGTGAAGTTGTGGTTTTTGTGAGGCCTTGACTGTGGAGTGAATGCTGTGTCGTCTGCAGTAAATCAAATGAAGCGGGAGTATCGATTCGCCTCGAGTGTATGAGCGGCGACTTGACAGCGAGCGTGCGAAAGGACAAGAGGAGGCAGCGCGCAAGGCTTGGCGAACGAAGACAGCAAAAGTCAGCGCAGCGGCGTTGGGCGCGTGGACTCCCACATGACCTCACTCCTAACCACTCACTTGTCTGATCTCGTCCACAGCTAGTCTCGAACGCCCCAGAACTGAGAGTACCCAGCTTGACTCTGATCATGTCAGCCCTGTCAAATGAGCAACCATCTAAGCAAACACTGCCAAAGGAGAAGAAGAAGAAGAAGAAGAAGAAGAAGAAGAAGAAGAAGAAGGAGGCTTACGCGTCTACAGTGAAGCAGTGGCCGTTGGATCCGGACCGGATCAACAATTTTGAGTGCCGTCGACGGGATGTGCTATTAACTACAGTGCCTGACGTGTCGCAAAGTCCCTCGCCCACCCCCACCCCCTAACGCCTTCTACGTACGGACTTATAGTTCACAAAAAGTTTGAAATGCCTTACAGTAAATGGCACCTATTGTGGTC